AAGAGTGTGTGAGTGTGCCCATTACGTGTCCTCCTTTTAGGTTGCAGTGCTATGACTGGTACACCCGCTTTGATCCTCCTTCCCTCATCCCTGCCCTCATTATGGGCTGGGAAGCCTCCTCTCTGCACCTAATCATAAGACTTCATAGGAGAAGCATGGCAGATCGTTAGCACCAAAGGTTGAGGACTCTTATTCTGATTACAAGTAGCATCTCTTGAAGTCAAGTCTCAAAAAATAGTCTAGCATCATAATGCAGTGGTTAAGGGCTCAGGCTTTGGACCCATGCAGGTCCCTAGATTAAAATCCCAACACCGTTGTTTAGTAGCTGGATGGCCTTAAGCAACTGCTTAAACCTTTTAATGACTCCGCTTTCTCATTGGTGTTATGGAATAATAATTATAATATCTACTTCCTGGGATTTGTGAAGATTAAATAAGATGATACTTGTCAAAGCTTTAGCACAGTGCCCTCCCTACCATTTGTTGAATGTTCTGAGTGCGAACACTTCACGTGTCAGGTGCCTTGTAGCAATACCAGGAAGCTAAGTGTTATGATCTCTATTTCACAGGTGAGATTAAAACTGAGAAAGGCTAAAGGATTGATTTGCCCAAGGTCACAAAGCTCATATGCATCAGAAATAGAATTAGAAGCCAAGTGTATTGGACCCCAAAGTCTGTGCTCCTAATACCAAGTGTTACTGCACCTCTGGTTTCAGTGAGAGAGGGTGCTGGAAAAGCATTCTGGAATAAAGACCTCCTCCCTGGAGGAACTTTGGTCTCCCCTCATGCAATTTTTCTGGATTTATGAAGCTATTTCATACTACCCACACTGAGGCTACATAACACAGTCTGGCATTATTCCAGGATATTTGAAATCACTTTTGGTGGCCAATCCAGAAAATTTAGGCCCCACAAGTGATTTTTTTGGCCCCAAATTATCCAATTATTGGTCTTTGTGGACTAGTCAGTTATTCAGTGGCAAACCCTCCCCAGCTCTGTGCGTTGTCCCAGCTGGGAACTGTCTCCACACGGAAAAATCAATCCAGCTTGTTTGCTTGCCTCTGCACCATTCAGTGTGTTAGACTAGAGTCATCATCTTCATCAACAAACATTTATCCAATTTAATTGTTAGTTTTGTCCAAAATAGCGGATTGACCATGCCAGAGTCTAGGTCATACTGATACTACCTTTGGGGCCCGGCTCAATTTTGTAAAGCATATTTATTTTAATTGCATTGTTTTGGAATCAGGTTGAGCCTCATAGCTTGGATTCTTCTGCTTTTAGATAGCTTTACAAAATTATCAAAAATTGGACCCAAATCAATAAATTAAAAGACTTTTTAAAAAATACAGTGAGTTTTCATCAAAAACTTGGATGAAGGCAGAGAAGGCATGCTGATCACATTTGCAGATGACAGAAAGCTGGGAGGGATCGCTAATATGATGGATGTCAGTATCAACATTCAGAGTGATTTCGACAGTTTGGAACAAGATGGGCTGAAACCATCACAGAGAAAGTTAACAAAAATAAATGTGAAGCTAAGCATTTAGAATTTTAAAACATGGGAGGGCCTTGGCCCATCAGTCGTTCATGTGAAGAAGATCTTGGGAGTGTATACATTTATTAGGAACCAACAGAGGACATGTAGTAGAAAAGAGAGATGCTAAATCACCTTAGACTGCAGCAGCATGGTACCAGGACCAAGTTGGGGGTAGTACATGGGCTCTGTCCTGTCAGACCGCACTTCAGGGTTCAGGCTAATTCCAAGCTGGGGTTTGAGAGGGATGTGGACATACTGTTTCTGGAAACTTGTAAGGGATGATTGGACGAAATGACAGTGTATGTGCAATATGTAGGAAGGGAGAGGGTTTGGCAGGATTAGGTCACTCTTTTGCTCTGTGGCAAAGGGGACTGTTGCTCGCAAGGACAGATCTAGAGGGGAAAGGAAGGGGTCCCTTTCAGCTCACCCTGAAGACAAGGGCGTGTGATCATCACACAAGTAACTAAGGGGAACACGTAACAGGATTTCTCACTAGCAGAGAGTTTATTTTGGATTTCATTAAGTTCCTCCAATTCTAAGATTTTATGATTCTGGGGGGTTACCTTATTGTCCCTAAATGCAAGTGATTATATATATATATACATATAAACATATGTGTTTGTTAAGTAACTTGTTATTTAACAAGATTGAACATGCTTTGTTCTCTAAAAATAATTAACCTAAAATGAATGAAGCAAAATTAATTTATTGAGTGCCTACTACTTAATTCCCAGCTTCCTGTGATATAATGTATGGTTTGGGTGATTTTCTTAGGAATGTCACTCAGCCCTGGTTGGTAGGAGCGTTGTCCCATACACCAAAAGGTTGCGGGTTCTAGTCCCAGGCAGGGCACATACCTAGGTTGTGGTTTCAATCCCCAGTCGGATATGTATGGGAGGCAACTGATCAATGTTTCTCTCTCTGTCTCTCCCTTCCTCTCTCTAAAACATAACCTCGGGTGAGGATTAAGAAAAAAAGAATGTCATCAATTGAAACTCAATTTTCATAACACCTTCTCCTTAAAGTTTTATATTTATAAGTTTATACAACTGGAAGTGACCTTGAGATCAGATCATCTAATCCAACCCCCATATTTTCAGAGGAGTAAATACAGGCTTCCAGGGGGTTAAGTGACTCATCTAAGGTCAGTGGCAGAGCGTGGCCTAGATCCAAATCTCATCATTCAAGGTATCTGAATACATGTTTCTATTTCACCATACTGCCACTTCTACTCAGTGGCGATTTAACTAGGTGTGTGTTTTGTTTTGTTTTTAAAGAAGCTTTATTTAATTTTTTTAAAAATTATAATAATAGTAATATATACCCATTCATTTTTTAAAAAGCAAACCATTTAAAAGTGAAAAATGAGAGTGCCTTTATTTGTTCCTGCCTAATTCCCCTCTTCAGCAGTAGCCGATAACAGCAGTAGTGTGTATTCATAATTTATTACATTTTTAATAAGAATGTGCCCTGTCAGGTTTGAGTCAGAGACAGTTGATTTGATGTAAACAATTTATAAAAGGGACCAGCTCCGCGCAGTGAATCAGGCTAATAGAGAAACGAGGAGATATTTGCCAGACAGGTGTGTTCTAATCTTCTTGTACCACCATTCGGGCCTTTAAGGTTGTAAGTGAGTGATTTTCCTCATTCGTGGGAAAAGGAGGTGGAGGAGTTGTGTTCCAAGTCACAGAGGGAATAATGTTTCAGAGGCCAGAAAGCGAGCGCCTCGCTTTGCGAAGCATTCCTGGCTCTGGGACCTCCTCGTTTCCTTTGGGCCAAACTTCTCTCCTTTAAAACCGAGCTCAGATCATTGTATATCAGTGCAGTCAAAACATGTCACATTTGATTTGTTTCTTCTTGAAATGTTGCTATTCTCTACCCCACAGTTGCTTTTAATTTAGCAATACAAGTATATATAGATACTGGGCTTGGCTTCAGAGCCTGCATAATTACTAACGAGAAAATAAACTTAACGTCCTCATTAGCTGGTCATTTCAAGTATTTTTTCAGCAAACTACGATGTTTTCTGGTAATTGGTGTCACTTAGTGTAGTAACAGACGCCAAAACAAGAGATATTGCTCAGATAAAATACCAGGCACCAGCAAATGGCGGTTAAGTATGTTACCAAGATAGCTTGAGAAACAACATGGCTAACACATGTTAGACTTAACCAAGGAAGCAGCCTGAAAACTCTGCAGAAAGAGGCTCTTCAAGAGATCCTCCAAATTGCCAATTCATTAGATGATTTCAGGCCAGTTCCTGCCCTTCTGTGGGCCTGTCTCCTC